CTCGGAATTCGATTCCGGGCATACGCCCAAGTCCCATATTTTCCTACGGAACCTCCGGGACCGTCATATCACGGGTTCGGGTCCGTTTACCCAAAATGTTGATCGAAGTCAACCTAAATTCATTTCAAAGGCAAAATTCATCATTTTTCGCATATTTTCACATAATGGCTTTCCGGATACACGCCCGGACTGCGCACGCAGATCGAGGTGAAACAAAAAGGAGGTTTTAAGGTCTTGGAACACAGAATTTATTTCTAAAACAAGTGATGCTTAGTAGAGTCTGAAGGATCAGTACGGAGATGTCTGTACTTATCCCCCAGAGGCTATAGAGTTAGGAATAGTTTCACTTTTATTCTTCTCTGTCATGCGATTTGGTTTCTCAATGCTAATTGAACTTCTACTCTGTTCTTTCGCAGATGGCAAGAACACGCGCTTCTTCATCCGCTGATCAGCAGCCCGAGCCCCCAGAGGTAGCATCTACGAGGGGTAGAGGGCGAGGCCAAGTCCGTGCTAGAGGCCGAGGCAGGGGCAGAGCTCAGCCCAGAGCAGCAGCAGCAGCGGTGGAGCCTCAGGTTGAGTTTGATAATGAGGTTCCAGCCCAGATGATTCCGGTAGGCCTAGCTCAGGTCCCAGAGGGGTTCATTCCTACCCTAGTACTCTAGGATGCTCTGGTCCATCTAGTGGGCCTTATGGAGAGTGTCACTCGGGCAGGCTTACTTCCTGTAGCACCAGCCGTCTCTCAGGCTGGGGGAGGACCACAGACTCCCGCTACCCGCACTCCGGAGCAGATGGCTCCCGAGTTTCAGACTCTAGCAGCTCAGCCAGTTGGAGCAGTTCAGTCGAGTGTGGTAGCTCAGACCGGTGAGGGAGCAGTTAAGTTTGCCGATGCTTTGTGGAGGTTGGATATGTTCACCAAGTTGTCCACTACTACTTATGGTGGTACATCTTCAGAGGATCCCCAGGATTACTTAGACAGCTGCCATGAGGTTCTTCGGAACATGGGGATAGTGGAGACCAATAGGGTCGACTTTGCTGCTTTTCGCCTGTCAGGTTCCGCCAAGACTTGGTGGAGAGATTATTGTTTGGCTAGGCCAGCTGGGTCCCCTGCCTTGAATTGGGATAAGTTCTCTCAGCTATTTCTGGAGAAGTTTCTTCCTATCACTCAGAGGGAGAACTATCGGAGGCAGTTTGGGCGTCTTCAGCAAGGTTCTATGACTGTTACTCAGTACGAGACCAGATTTGTTGACTTGGCCCGTCATGCTCTTCTTATACTTCACACTGAGAGAGAGAGAGAGAGAGAGAGAGAGAGAGAGAGTGAGGAGGTTCATTGAGGGACTCGTTCAGCCTATTCGATTGCAGATGGCTAAGGAGACGGGGAGTGAGATTTCTTTTCAAGAGGCGGCCAATGTGGCCAGGAGAGTTGAGATGGTTCTGTCACAGGGGGTAGTCAGGGGTCTAAAAAGAGGCCTCGTCATTCGGGCAGATTCAGTGGTGCCTCATCTGGAGCAGAGATTCTTTTGGTAGAGTCCATCCTCCTAGGACTTTACAGTCAGCACTTCAGGCTTCTCACGGTGCCCTAGGTGGCCGTGGTTCTCTCATGCAGTATTCTGATCAGCAGTCCTACAGTGCACCGCCAGCTCCTATCATTGCACCTCCGCTCCAGAGATTTCAGAGTGGTTATTTAGGCCATCAGGGTCAACAGTCTCAGCAGCCGAGGACTTTTTATACTTATGGCGACACGAGGCATATTGCTAGATTTTGCCCTCGAGCACCGAGCAACTCTCAGCATCAGGGTTCCCGCGCCATGGTTCAGGCACCGAGTGTCCCATCGCCCGTTCATCCAACTAGAGGTGGAGGTAGAGGTGCTAGAGGTGGAGGTAGAGGTATTAGAGGTGGAGGTCAGGCCGCTAGAGGTGGAGGCCAGCCAGCAGGAGGCCGTCCCAGAGAGGTAGTTTAGAGTGGTAGGGCCCAGCCCCGATGTATTTATCACAGGAACTGTTTTGGTTTGTAGTAGATATGCTTCAGTTCTATTTGATCCAGGATCTATATACTCCTATGTGTCATCTTATTTTGCATCGTATCTGGTCATGCCTAACGATTCCTTGAGTGCTCCTGTATATGTGTCTACACCGGTGGGTGATTCTATTGTGGTAGATTGTGTCCATCGTTCATGTATAGTTGTGATTGGGGGTCTTGAGACTCGAGTAGATTTGTTACTTTTGGATATGGTTGATTTTGATGTCATACTGGGGATGGACTGGTTATCACCTTACCACGCTATCTTGAACTGTCATGCCAAGACTGTGACCTTAGCCTTGCGGGGTTTACCTCGTTTAGAGTGGAGAGGGACTCCTGGTCATTCTACCCATAGGGTTATCTCATATACGAAGGCTCGGCGTATGGTCGAGAAGGGGTGTTTGGCCTATTTGGCATATGTTCATGATTCTAGTGCTGAGGTAACTTCTATGGATTCTCTGCCTGTTGTTCGTGAGTTTCCTGAGGTTTTCCCTTCAAACCTGCCGGGTATGCCACCCAACAAGGATATTGACTTTTGCATTGATTTGGCTCCGGGCACTCAGCCTATTTCTATTCCGTCGTATCGTATGGCCCCGCCTGAGTTGAAAGAATTGAAGGAGCAGTTGCAAGACTTGCTTGATAAGGGCTTTATTAGGCCTAGTGTCTCGCCTTGGGGTGCGCCTGTGTTGTTTGTTAAGAAGAAGGATGGATCGATGAGGATGTGTATAGATTACCGGCAATTGAACAAGGTCACAATCAAGAATAAGTACCCGTTGTCGAGGATTGATGATTTGTTTAACCAGATTGAGGGTGTTTAAGTATTTTCTAAGATCGACTTGGGATCTGGCTACCATCAGTTGAGGATAAGGGCATCCGATGTCCCTAAGACAGCTTTCTGCACTCGGTACGGGCATTATGAGTTCTTGGTGATGTCATTTGGATTGACAAATGCCCCAGCAGCTTTTATGAATTTGATGAACCGAATGTTCAGGCCCTATTTGGATTCGTTCGTGATTGTCTTCATTGACGATATTTTGACCTATTCCCGCAGCCGGGAGGAGCACGAGCAGCATCTTTGAGTCGTTCTTCAAACTCTGAGGGATAGACATTTGTATGCTAAGTTTTCAAAGTGCGAGTTTTGGTTGAGTTCAGTTGCATTATTGGGCCACGTTGTATCAACAGAGGGTATTCAGGTAGATCCGAAGAAGATAAAGGCAGTCAAGAACTGGCCTCGACCCGCATCAGCTACAGAGATCCAAAGTTTTTTGGGTTTGGGGCTATTACCGTTGGTTTGTGGAGGGGTTTTTATCTATTGCAACCCCGATGACCAGGTTGACCCAGAAAGGTGCCCAGTTCAGGTGGTCGGAGGAGTGTGAGGCGAGCTTTCAAAAGCTCAAGACAGCTTTGACTACGGCGCTGGTGTTGGTGTTGCCCGTAGGTTCAGGGCCATATACAGTTTATTGTGACGCATCTCGTATTGGACTTGGTGCGGTGTTGATGCAGAATAGCAAGGTCATTGCATATGCTTCGCGGTAGTTGAAGATTCATGAGAAGAATTATCCAGTTCATGATTTGGAGTTAGCAGCCATTGTTCACGCGCTGAAGATTTGGAGGCACTATTTGTATGGCGTGTCATGTGAGGTGTTCACGGATCACAAGAGTCTGCAGTATTTTTTCAAGCAGAAGGAACTAAATTTGAGGCAAAGGAGGTGATTGGAGCTGTTGAAAGACAATGATATCACCATCTTATATCATCCGGGGAAGGCCAATGTGGTGGCCGATGCTTTGAGTGGAACGTCAGCTAGTATGGGTAGTCTTGCGTATATTCCGGTCGGTGAGAGACCGCTTGCTTTGGATGTTCAGGCTTTAGCCAATCAATTCGTGAGGTTAGATGTTTCTGAGCCCAATCGTGTGCTAGCTTGCACAGTCGCTCGTTCGTCATTATTTGAGCGTCTCCGGGATTTGCAGTATGATGATCCTCATTTGCTTATCCTTAGGGACACGGTGCGGCACGGAGGTTCCAAGCAGGTTACAGTTGGAGATGATGGAGTTTTGAGGATGCAGGGTCGTATATGTGTACCTAATGTGGATGGGCTTCGTGAATTGATGCTAGAGGAGGCCCATAGTTACCGGTATTCTATCCACCCGGGCGCCGCTAAGATGAATCAAAATTTGCGGCAGCATTATTGGTGGAGGAGGATGAAGAAGGACATTGTTGCATATGTAGCTCGATGTTTGAATTGTCAGCAGGTAAGTACGAGTATCAGAGGCCTGGTGGTTGTTATACCCCATTTAAATCGGGTCAAATTAGAGTATAACATATTAGCGATTCTGAGATTTAATTAATTTTAAGAGAGTTGCCACCTAATTATTTTATGGTGAATTAGGACACCATCTTTTATCTAAATAACTCTAAAGTTAACTCTGTTTATATAGTCTATCTAACATTAAGATTATGGGTAAGGGTTCTAATTTATCCTATAGGGAAGGTTATTAAAGCACCATACAAGATCCGTTAACTACGATTAACTGGTCAAACTTAGGTTGATTCACTAGTTAGGATAATAAATATTAAAAGCACATTAGTTGAACGTTTGAGGATTTTTTTTTTTATAAGTCAAAGTATTTAACTATGTTGAAAATCGCATTCCGAATTGTGAATTCAAAAAACACTCACTCTGTTGAAAATCTTTTTAAAAAAACGTGAGAAAAGAAAAGTTAAGTTAATGTGGTAAACTCTTGTAAACCAGTTCCTACTCAAAGACCATCTGAGACTAAAGAAAGATTTTGACAACTTTTTCCACAATGTTAAAGTCTAAAGGCTAATCTGCTTTAGAGCCAAATGTTCTCAATGCTATTTGAAATAAAGATAAGTTCACACTAGATTGTAGTTAATACCTTTAAAGAAAATACATTAAAATATATAGGCTAGGCGTTAATATAGGAACCAGTTTTTTTTGATTTTCTAGTTTTAGATCTTTAGATGAGATAAAAGTTCTGTTTAACTAATCATAAGTTTGAATATGCAATTCCAAAATGGGTAGTAACTCAACTAAATAAGCAAATTAACATGCAAAAATCAGATAACATGAAGGACAAAGACAATAAATAACAAAAAATGAATAAGGGTGCCATAGGCATCCCCAAGTGTCTCGCTTGTTATCTTGTTATCCGATGCCTTCTAAGAATAAGGGATGTGATGATTCCATGCTCAGGCATTGTAGCGAGTCTTGCATTAAGACTAATATTACTCCAAGTGTATATGCAAAGCAAAGAAAACAAAAACTGAATTAGTAATGAAAAACTCTTAAATAAACAAGAAAATAAAAAGGCAAATGACATAAACCAACATTAAAGTAAATCCTAGACTCATAAAAGGACACAGTTTCTGATTTTTCACAAAGCTCATATATTGCAAAATATACAAATATGTCCCAGAAGTACTGCTAGCAGATTTCTTCATATTAAGTTTAGACCAATGACATATACTTAACAGAGAATCCAAATAAATTCATGAACATCCAATTCACTATATAACAAAAAGTATTCCCTTCTAATATGAAGTGCTCTTCGCATGACTTTAAGGAGATTACAGATTTTATTCCTTACTATAACTTTAAAGAATTTAGAGAAGTTACTATTTATTCAAAACTCAACTGCATTGACTAATTAAGAAAACATTAAGGGGGGTGCTACTTTAAATTAGCTAAGTCTATTGTCTCTATATCTCAAACAAATTCTAAAGTCCTGTTTTGTACTTCATGAAAAGCGACAAGGAAAAGTATATTATCAATTCAACAGAACATACTTCTCATTTTAAGGATCTAAATTTATTTTAAATTAAGGGGCAAAACAACAAAGTCTCAGGCATTATAGTCAATTCTTTGTCATTTAGGTCATTAGAGCACACTAGTACATTTTAAAGATCATGGCTGTTAAGTTATGAAAAGAAAGCTATTAAGTCAAAAAAAAATGGATTCTCTTAATCAACGAAAGAATCTAATATATTCTTTTTGAGATGGGAAGCCTAATATATTCTTTTCTAGCAACAAAGAAGATATATCCTTAAATTAACATATTGTCATGCATATACATTTTTTCTCATTAGAAATCTGATTCCAATAATCCTGGGGCACTGTTTCTCTTACATTTAGAAAGCAACAAAGACGATGTATCCAACCCCAACAGAACATGTTACTTTTTCAACATTTAAGCTAAACAGACATTTATAAATCTTCTTTTAAGTTACAACATCAAGTTCCTATATTATTGTTGAACATGAGGGTAGGATTTCCCAGGTGATGAAGAATCTCATAAATAATATTTAATCCTATAGATATGATTTCTATAATTTGAATAAGGTAAAAAAAGCTATAATTTCCATTTAACAGAATACTTTCCACTTTTCAAATATGGTTAAAGTGAGTAAAATATGACAACTCTTACATAACTCAACGATTAACAAGTCACATTATTACATAATTCATGAAATAAAGATTCTTAACATGACACCTCTAACTACTAATTAGTTGAAAACAATAGCCTTTTTCATGATATCTAACACACGGAAAGAAAGAACCAAAAAAAGAACTTCAACATAACTTCTTTAATAAGCTATGTTTAGAACTTAATAGATAACTAGCCATGTAATATAAATTGAATGTAAAAGAGAATGTGACTGACCTTTTGTGGTGCAGCGAACTTGGGGCGTGCAAATAGGTCTACTATTTTCAGCCTAAGGTCCGCTAACTGAACGACAGTCAAACTCCGAAAACAAAGACAGTAATGCCTCTGTTATATTTTTATAAAACCCGGACAGAAATAAGCTTTTAGAAAGTGGTTTAAAGTAGTAAAAATGAGAGAGGAGTAACGGTACAAAGGTCTGAAGCGGCCGGTACCAAGATGCCCAAAACTAGCCACAAAGTTTGGTATTTATAGGAGATGAATTAGGGCTCTTGTAGGGCTAATTGGGCGGGATTCTTGATTTTGATTCGGATTTCAAACGGCTAAAGAACCATTTCAAATCGCGTGTAGCAAGAAAACAAAGAAGATATAGGCAGAGGGAGCAGAGATTCGGTTGCCAAAATTGTGAAATCATGAGAAAACAAAAAGAGAACCCTTTTTTACATTTGTCAACTTCATTGTGAATGGCAAACGAGTTTGAATTTTTCAGTCAAAGTGCTTGAGTTGGCAGATAATTCCTTAGAATGGCCACACAAATTTCTTATTATAAGATGTGAGAGTCAAATTTGCTAAGAAAATAGAAGGAGCCAAAACTTTTCTGCCATGGCAGAGAAAAGAGACGCTGGTTTTCTTTGAAAGAGGGAAAGAGATGGAACCCTAGTCAAATTTGATTTTAATTAGATGCATCTAATGGCTAAGACTAATCCTGATATAAGTAAATAAAAATAAATAAAGCAAGCATTTATTTGGAATTCTCTAGAAGATAGAAGAAATGATCTTGACCATTAATTTAAAATAGACTAGATCCGATGAATCCATGTGGCAAGGTGTGGGGTCAAAGTGTGGAGGGATGAGGAGAGCCTGTGCTAGGAGTGTGTTGGTCATGTGATTTGTACCGTTGGCGCCCATGTGGCGCTGACGTGGACGCTTATGTGGCGCTTATGTGGAGTCCATGTAGATGAAAGAGTTAGGTAGATGGGCTAGCGGGTATGGGCTATTTTATGGGCTATTTTGGTTGATTTATGGGGTCTAAAAATCTGAAAATATGTTATAAAATTGGCCCCATTTTAAATAACATTAAACTTTACCAAGACGATCTAATTTACATTTAAAAGTCCTTTTTCACTTTAAATTTTACTATGCTTCCATAATTTATAATAAAATATATTATATTATATTATTGTAAAAATTAATATCTAGTATGTATGCATTTACATATAGAATAAGAAGTAGAAAGATAAAATATAGTTTGGCAAATAATGTTTGTATTAATTATTACGATGCATTAGCATTAAATAATAATATGATAGTGACTAAGTAACTAAAATAATAATAATAACGACATAATTACAATAGATATACTAAATTATATTAAGGCTAATAATTATATTTTATTTTAAAAATCTTGAGGCTAGAAAAAATATAACAAATATTTTAGATAAAAATATGTAAAATATATTTAGTAAATTATTAAGAATTAGGAAGTATAGAGAAATTGCTTATGAAAAAGGAGGGCCAAAATTGGTTGTCAACATTGGTTTGTTCAAAAGATTGAGATTCCTTGAGTGGAAGTGGGAGCGGATCACTATGGACTTCGTTGTTGGACTCCCACGGACTTCGAGGAAGTTCAATACAGTATGGGTTATTGTTGATAGGCTGACCAAGTCAGTGCTTTTCATCCCTGTGGCAGTTTCCTATTCCTCGGAGCGGTTGGCTGAGATCTATATCCGGCAGATTGTTTGTCTTCATGGAGTGCCCGTGTCTATCATTTTTAACCGGGGTACGCAGTTTACCTCACATTTATGGAGGGCAGTTCAGCGTGAGTTGGGTACGCGGGTCAAGTTGAGCACAACATTTTATCCTCAGACGGACGGATAGTCCGAACGTACTATTCAGATTTTGGAGGATATGCTCCGAGCATGCGTTATTGATTTTGGAGGTTCTTGGGATCAGTTCTTGCCACTAGCAGAGTTTGCCTACAACAACAGCTACCATTCGAGCATCCAGATGGCTCCCTTTGAGGCATTATATGGTAGGCGGTGTCGGTCGCCGGTTGGGTGGTTTGAGCTGGGAGAGGCTCGGTTGTTGGGCACAGATTTAGTTCAGGATACCTTGGATAAGGTGAAGATCATTCAGGATAGGCTTCGTACAGCTCAGTCCAGGCAGAAGAGTTATGCCGACCGCAAGGTTCGTGATGTGGCATTCATGGTCGGAGAGCGAGTGTTACTCCGGGTGTTGCCCATGAAGGGCGTGATGAGATTTGGGAAGAAGGGCAAGCTAAGCCCTAGATTCATTGGGCCGTTTGAGACTCTTGATCGAGTGGGAGAGGTGGCTTACAGACTTGCGTTGCTGCCTAGTTTATCAGTCGTGCATCCAGTATTTCATGTGTCCATGCTTTGGAAGTATCACGGAGATCCATCGCACGTGTTGGACTTCAGCACTGTCCAGTTGGACAAGGACTTGTCCTATGAGGAGGAGCTGGTAGCTATTCTAGACCGGCAGGTTCGTCAGTTGAGATCGAAGAAGTTCCCTTCGGTTCGTGTTCAGTGGAGAGGTCAGCCTGCCGAGGCAGCTACTTGGGAGTCCGAGTCCGATATGCGGAGCCGATACCCCCATCTTCTCCCCTACTCAGGTACTTCTTTTCTATATCCGTTTGAGGACGAACGGTTGCTTTAGAGGTGGAGGATATGATGACCCAAAAGGTCATCACTTGTTTTGAAAGTAAATTCTGTATTCCTAGGCCTTAAAAACATTTTTTGTCTCACCTCGATTTGTGTGCACAATCCGGGCGCGTTTTTGGAAAGCTTTTATGTGAAAACTAAGTAAAATAAGGAAATTGGCTTTTAAAATTGTATAGAGTTGACTTTGGTCAACATTCTTGGTAAACGGACCCGGACCCGTGATACGACGGTCTCGTTGAGTCTGTAGTAAAATTTGGGACTTGAGCATTTGCCGGGGATCGAATTCCGAGCCCCCAAGCCCGAGAAATGAATTTTTAAAAAAAATGGCTTAACTGAAATTATAAGAGTTTTCGGAAATGAAAAGATGTTCGAAATTGATGGTATCGGGCCCTTATTTTGGTTTCGGAGCTCGGTACAGGTCTTAGATAATAATTAAGTTGAATCTGTGAAGTTTGGTAAGAATCGGAGTTTGTTAAGTATAAGTAGGACCTTTATTTGAGAAATTGAAAATTTTGATGTTCTTGAGTGATTTCATGAATTTGATGTTTAATTCATAGTTGTTGATGTTATTTTGATGATTTGATCGCACGAGCAAGTCCGTAAGATGTTTTTTGACTTGCGTGCATGTTTGGTTTGGAGCCCCGAGCCCCCGACGGCTCGGGTGAGTTTTGGATATGCCACGGAGTGAATTTGGACATAGAGAAATGGATGTTGCACGTTCAGTTGTGTTGCAGGCTCTGATCTCGCAATTGCGAGGTCAGGCTTCATAATTCCGAGCCCAACATGCTTGGCAATTGCGAGGTCTTGATCGCATTTGCGAAGAAAGCCTTGCCTGCCAGTGTTCGCAATTGTGAACCACCCTTCGCAAATGCGAAGTCATCAGGGGAGGGCCAGTATCGCAATTGCGACAACTTGTTTGCAATTGCGGGGTTAGCAGACGATGCCCAGGTTCGCGAATGCGAGGCCTTTTTCGCATTTGCGAGCTTCGCAATTGTGAAGCTCTTGTCGTAATTGCGACATCTGTGACAAGTTAATTGGGACTTAGACGGATTTTTCTTCATTCTTCAAACTTTCTCAAAACCTAAACTCTCTTGGGCGATTTTCTAAAGAAAAGTTCTTCTCCAAATCAATTATACAAGCGGAGTTGTGGTGGAAACAAAAGGTAAAGCGGTAGTTGAGGATTGAATTGTGTTCGTGGCATTGAGGTAAGTGTTTGGTCTAACCTTAGCTTGAGGGATTAGGAGTTGTGTCTTATATGCTAAGTGTTAACTGTTGAGTACGACGTATAGGGGTGGTGACGAGTATCTATACGTCGGTGTCAAGCATGCCTCTGAGTCTTATACTATGATTGTTGTGACTCCGTTTCGTGTTATTCATGTTTTATATGATGATTTCTATTGTTGAACAAGGCTTGTGGAAGTATTATTGGTAATTGAACATTGTAGTACGTTGGCTCAATTTGAGAATTGAGTTGTGAAGTAATTGTGGAAAAGAGAAGAGGTTTATGATATTGTTGCCCTTGCCGGGATATTGTTGTTATGCTATTGTTCCCTTGCCAGGATTTTATTGTGATGTTATTAATTCCCTTGCCCAAATTGCTTTGTGATTGTTGCTTGGGTGAGGAAGAGTGTAAATGACGAAGGGTGATGCCGTGCATGATTTTGAGAGTGTTAATGCACGAAGGGTGATGCCGTGCCGATATTGTGAGATAAAAGCATGAAGGGTGATGTCGTGCCACACAACTTTTGAGAATATGGTATACAAGATTGGAATGCGGAGACTCAAATATTTGAAATAAGGTTTTCATCAGGGGGAGTAAAATACGCGATGCACTCTTTTTTCCTTAGTAAAATTTTTTCCCACGGGGTTTTCCTTATAAGGTTTTTAATGAGACACCTAGCAATGCGTATTACTAAATATGTGTACTCTTTTTCCTTCACTAGGATCTTTTTCCCACGAGGTTTTCCCTAGTAAAGTTTTAATGAGGCACATTATATTTTAATGAACATCCAAGGGGGAGTGTTATAAATATATATATTACATTATGGATGTTCATTTAGTACTCCGTTGTAAATAAGCTTCATGAAGAAGCTTATCATATCGGTACTCCGTTGTGGATAAATATTACCCCCCGCAGAAGATTGTCTATATCTGGTACAGTAGCAGCTTACAAGCAACTTACAAGAAGCTTACACAGTAGCTTGCATTAGCAGCTTACAAGCAACTTACAAGCAGCTTACACAGCAGCTTGCAGTAGGAGCTTACACAGCAGCTTGCAGTAGCAGCTTACACAGCAGCTTCCTTTCTTCTATAAATAGAGGAGATTTCAGTTCATTATGTACATGAATTTGAAGTTGAATAATAAATCTCTCTCTCTCTCTACTTGTCTTTGGTTTCTTTACTTTAAAGTCTTTATTTTATAACACGCTACGTGTTATAAAATAAAGACTTTAAAGTAAAGAAATCAAAGACAAGTAGAGAGAGAGAGAGAGAGATTTATTATTATTCAACTTCAAATTCATGTACATAATAAACTGAAATCTCCTCTATTTATAGAAGAAAGCAAGCTGCTGTGTAAGCTGCTACTGCAAGCTACTGTGTAAGCTGCTATTGCACCATATATAGGTAATCTTCGACTGGGGGAAATATTTATCCATAACGGAGTACCGAAAGGATAAGTTTATTGTACCAGGTATGGATAATCTTCTACCGGGGGTAATGTTTATCCATAACGGAGTATCGAAAGGATAAGCTTATCGTACCAGGTACGGATAATCTTCTACTGGGGGTAATGTTTATCCATAACGGAGTATCGAAAGGATAAGCTTATTGTTCCCGGTATGGATAATCTTCTACCGGGGGTAATGTTTATCTATAACCGAGTATAGAAAGGATAAGCTTATTGTACCCGGTATGGATAATCTTCTACAGTCGGTAATGTTTATCCATAACCGAGTACCGAGTACCGAACTGATAAGCTTCTTTAGGAGGCTTATTTCCAATAGAGTACTA